GCATTCCTAAGCGCCTGGCTCTCAAAAGAGCTGTCGGTATATAGTTCTGTTTTATCTCCATATTTTCTTCTGATTCATATATATATAATTGAATAAAGCATATAGGAAGCTTTCCTATTCTGAAAATATCCTAATAGATAATCATGATATTTGAGATATTATTTCAAAGATATTCAAATTTTCTTTGAAATTGTATATTATTTATTATAATTGATAGATCTCTTTTTAAATTTGTGCCTGCAAATTATAGCGCTCAAACTTCAGGCCTTTCTGTAGCGATCTATTCTCCATTTGACCTTGATATCATGATCTCGTGAATCTTTCCACTGGATTCCCAGATTATTCAGAATATATCAAGAGTGACATAGATATAGCGCCGGAGGCTCCGCGTTTGCGGAGGGACCGGAGAGACTACCTATATTGATGGAGATAGATCCTGGTCAAATACCTTTCCGGCGTTCAGCATGAAGATCTACGATATATACTGCCTTATGCAGGATGGGATATCGGAATAGGTCTTGAATCCATTGAACATTTTGGAGATTCTCGAGGGGCAGGCAGCGCTGATTCGCCCCATCATGACCTATGAGGAGGCCAATCCAGCGGCTCACGTCCTGGCCCCGAGATAGAAGTGGAAGGCCAGCTTTTTGGCCTATTTCTTGGGAGCTGGGTCCAAAGGACAGCTCATGGTCATGAAATAATTTTCGGCGACGAGAACTATATTGCCTCGCTCGCTGGCCAAAATTATTGGCAAGTCAGGACAAGCAAAGGCTTTACCTATAGACTTCGCCGCAACCATGACCTGATTGATGGCCGCTACAACGATGCTCTTTTCGAGAATGCGGACCGCGAGCTCCAGGTCTTTCGTTGGGCGCCTCCCAAGATCTTGGATTTCCTTCTTGGGCATATCAAGATGAGGTTTGCAGTTCATCTTCAGCTTCGTCATTTATATTACGACGACATTCCGAGCATCGATTGATATATCAGCTTGTCAGCCATCAAAGGGCATTCTAGGATATCCGATATAGCCGCTCCTTCGACTCTTGGAGAGCCTCTATCATTGGATCGTTGCAAGGTCCTTGATTCTATCTTTCATAGCGCCTATAAGAAGAATTGGGAAGGCATCAAAGGTCAAGGGCTCGTTTTGGGCAAGGCCAGAGAGAATGATCAGTCTAGCCGCATCACTATCCATATGGCCTATGCAGGTGGCTCAGAGGCGCCGCGCTATGGAATGCTCATTCCAGACGGCCGGTATCTATTCTATTGCAATATGAAGTACGAGGAGCTCCTTTCGGATGGCTACTCGCTTTATCTTGCGGTCAATGGGGTAATTTTGTGCTACCAGACCATTCCGGCTAAGTACTTGACGTTCCCCGCGCACCCTCTTCATGAGAAGGATCCAGCAGGTCGACAGTGGGACCCCCGTGCTCGAGAGGAAGGCATTCCTATGGGAACGGGATCCTCAGAGCAGAAGATAATAGGAGATTTTCCTATGGGAGAGGGATTCGTCAGCAGCTGGAGATTCTGCTTTTGCGGAGGGACCAGATGACGCAATAGATATTCCTATTTTCAATTTGGATGACCTGTGTAAGGGGATCCAGGAGCAAGATCTGGCCGAGCAAACGGAGTACGGAGTCTGAGGGCAGGCGCGTTCCGCAGGAGGAAGGGGTGCGTGCTTGAGGCGGATACGAAGATCTCTTTGGAGCGCGAGCGCATCCTTGAGCAGGAAATCTTTATCAAAAAGGAGAACGCGAATCCCTGGTTCATCTATGACCAGGATATCATCCGTCTTAAATGACCTACGGGAGCCTATAGGGTCTCCGACTATGGCGACCCATTTGGATAGTATTGGAAATCTTCTCACGGGCTATAAATCCGATTTTGGGAATATCCCGGGACTCCTCTATTAGAATCAGTCCCAGATTGATACGGAGTTCCGGATTGAAGATTTCATCGATTTCCCCATACCGGATCCAAAGGACAAGCGCGCTAAGAAGCCTTCTCCGAAGGATATGAGCGATGAGGAATATGCCACGGCCTAGGAAATCTATTATCAATAGCTTCACGTGCTTGAGATATTTCGGGAGTTTGAATATATTCATAAGGATTTCTAGTTCGTTGGGAATTGCTTCTCTGAATTATACGGCGAGGAATTATTCAACTATCTTTATGTGAATCAGGCTACGAGCTGAGAAAGTAGCTTATGCTCTTTCTGGAGAATGACGATAACGTCTTTGATTATAGCCTGCGCGAGTCCTTCAACTCCAAGCTCATCCTCGAGATCAAGAAGAGATATAGTGAGCTGGAGATGAGGGCCCGGAATTTTGACTCTCGTTTTGGGAGGAAGGCGTATAATGACCTGGGAGAATACGATTTCGTCAAGGCCAAGTCTATCGAGATTCTCCAGGATCTACTTGACCGGCCCTATGAGGGTATCCTCGCGGAGGAAATGATTGACTCCTTGATTTCGCATATTGTTGCGGAAGAAATAGAGAATGATGATCTCCTAGCTCCAGCTCCTGCACTGTCCTCTTCGGTGAAGCAGGAGATTAAGGCGGAGGAAGTGTCCATGGAGGTAGATGCAAATTCCTCTGCGAAAAAGCCTCGTATTTCTCCTGAAAAGGATATTCAGATAGAAGGTTCTTCTTTGGAAGAGAGATCTATTGAGTAGCCTGATTCTAGCTCAAAGCCGTCTAACGCGGAAGGGTCTTCTATGAGAGAGGGATCCCCAGACCGCCTATATCGAGCACTAGGCAGTTAAGGATAGAAGGCTCTCCTATGGGAGAGGAATCTATTTTGCCGTCACGAATGGAGCCTACTAGAGAGGAGACAGAGAATAAGACTCGTCAGGAAACTTGAGGCGATCCAATCACGACAATCTTGCCCGAACCCTATGAGATCTTGGAGGAGGATCCAGAAGCTATTTCCCCTCCGAGAAGAATAGATCCTCAGCCGCTCAATGAGGAGCTTGCGGATAAGGCTAAGGTCTCTGATGAGAATTCCCTCATCGAGAATAGCCCAAATTTCTATTCTTATATAAGATAGAAATTGGATCTGAAGGTCAAATCGCCTATCAAGCTTCTCCGC